AGGACTCCACAGATGGGGCAAAGGGCTTAATATTCAGGTGCTGTCATCAAGCCCTCTCCACTCTGGCAGCACAACGGATTCCCCCACAAACAGGAATACAAGAGAAATTCCCAACATGCCTAAAAGAAAATGTTTGTGATCTCATCACACAATTTTTAAATAACTGCCAATCTTTTATCCGATGGATAACCCTTAAAATTTTAAAACATTCTGAATTTCCTGTGTAGCATATCAACTCAATGGTAATGCAAAGACAAGTGATCTTTAAAAAACAAGTGCAAAAAAAGTCTGCATAACTGTCAAAGTCTTCAGAAAGTAAGCAAATTCATTCTGAATGTCCTCACCTTCTAAACTGTGGATGAATGTCATCATCTGACTTAAAGGCATCCTCCACATAAGTGTCAAAGAGGCAGGGAAATGGCAAGACAGTATCAAGATCATAAATGAAGCTCTGTCCTCCACTTGAGACATGAAGCAAAACAACATGGTAATCCTAGAAGTAAAAGTTGCTGAAGTTAAACAACTTATTTTATGCTTGCAAAATCCAGGGTTACAGTAATAACACTACTGTTGTTAGCTCCCATGTACAATGCAATTGGATCATTGTGATACATAGGGTTTTCACCGGCTGGTTTTCACAAGTAGATTGCCAGGCCTTTCTTCCTGTCTGTCTTAGTCTGGAGGCTCTGCTGAGCCTGTTCATCATCATAGCAACACGCAAGCCTCCACTGATAGACAGGTGGTGGCTATGCTTGAGGTGCACTGGCCAGGAATCGAACCCGGATGTCCCACAAAGAAGGCGATAATTCTACCACTAAAGGATGTCATATGTATTATCAAAATCAGATACAAGACTAACACAGCCTTCCTCATAACAGCAAATGTTGTGCAATGGTTAAGTGCTCAGCTGCTAACCGAAAGGTCGGTAGTTCAAATCTACCAGCTGCTCTGTGAAAGAAAGATGTGGCAGTCTGCTTCCGTAAAAATTACAGCTTTGGAAACCCTATGGGACAGTTCTACTCTGTCAATAGGGTCACTATGAGTTGGAATCAGCTCAACAACATACAGCAAAATTTAAAAAAGGCAAACACAAAACCCTGACAATAGACTAAATGTCTGGTGACAAGGAATGATTAAATAAATAATGGAAATGTTCAGATACATTAAATGAAGATCCTCTGACCCAGCAATTTGACCTCTAGGAAGCTACCCTACAGAAAAATGTCTATAAGCATGTCAAGGTATATACACAATGATAACCTCTGCAGCGCTATTTATAATAGTGAAAATACAGCAACAACCCAAAGCCCATGGAGAGGAGAGTGGTTAATAAACTATGATACAGCCATATAATGGAGTACTATGCACCTGCTAAAAGAATTAGGTAAATTTATGTGAAAAATGGAAAAACATCCACATTATACTGTTGGATGAAAACAGCAAATTTCAGAAGATGTCTTATATACTATTTTTTAGGACACACATGAATGTACAGAAAAACATCCCCAAGAGTATCCTCCAAACTATTTTTAAAAAAAGGGACTCCTTGAGGTTAGCCTGGAGAGGGGAAGAAGGACTTCAATGTCTTGTTTATTATACATCTGTACTGTCTGAACACATTATACGTATGTACTATTTTTGTAATTAAAAGAAAAAAATGCTTTAAAAAAAAAGGCAGCCATGCCCAGTATGTGTGTTAATTCTCACTCACTCCCAGACATGAAGCACTGCCCAACATCCACTGCAGCTGAAAAGGATTTGGGGGAGGTTATCAAGGGACATGAGTCCTGGTGGCACAGTGGTTAAGAGCTTGACTGCTGACCAAAAGGTCGGCAGTTCGAATCCACCAGCCACTCCTTAGAAACCCTATGGGGCAGTTCTATTCTGTCCCATAGGGTTGCTATGAGCCGGAACTGACTCAACAGCAACAGGTTTGGTTTTTTATCAAAGGACAGTTGTGCAGTCTCTGGTGCTTTGAGCTCCTCAGAAGAAAACTGCTTTCATAGACGCCAGCATGCAAAATAAAAATGCCTACCTAACAACATCAGTAATACCATCTTACATTTCTAGAGTACTTTGGAGTTTACAAAGCACTTTCTCACGTGTTATTTCATTCGAGCCCCCACAAAAACCCTGGAAAAGGTAATTAATTGTGACTAGAGATGTTGTACCATCACAGCCTAAAGTGCTTCCCTCAGCTCCGGTCCTACCTTTAGCTCCGGTCCTACCTTCAGCTCCGGTTCTATCTTAGTGAAGCAGAAACAGCATCAGAAATGGATGCTTACTCCCTCCCCTCTCCGTAATGCATCCTACCCTCCAGATAAATGAAATGACAATTGCCCCCCTTACAACAGCCCACTTCCTTCCACTGGACTCATGTTATTCCCTCCATCTACGACACCTTTTCCACCTCTCTCCCCAAACCCATCCCTCAAGCTTGGGCTCAAATGCTTTCTCCTCATACGGCTACTTTTTATCTTCCCCAACCTGCTGCCAGAAGGAGCCTCTGCATTATCCAAAGTCTTTTTTTTCTGAACACCTTCTACTTCATGTTACAGTGGCTATTTAAAGCACCTGTTCCCTTTTATTTGTGGGAAACCGTGCTATTTGACTGTAGATACAAAGATGAAAAAGATGAAATCCTTCCCCTCAGAGAATCTCCAGACAAGCAGGTGGGAAACACAAAGACGCTGCTGGGGGGCGGTGTGGCGAGTATATACCAAAGGAGGCCGGCGAGCACACAGGGAGGGCGTTCTGAAGTTATACCGCCTGGTTCAAATCTTGGCCCTTCCACTTGCAGTTTCCTCTTTTATAAAATGGGGAAAAATCCCTCACAGTGTTACTGGGAGAGTTAATAAGATTATGTATGTAAGTATAAAAACTTTTAAAAAGCCAAACAAGGAAGCTAGGAATTGAGGAAGTGAGGGGATGGGGGCCTAACTTCCAAAGAGTGTTTCACTAAGGAACGGAATGTATCACTGAATCTTGCCTGAAGCGGGGAGCTTTCCAGGAATAAACAATAAAAATTCACAACTGTCTAGTTAGTCCAGGTCCATATTCCTACATACCAAATGCCTGATGAACTTACGGAGAAGCAGTCCTCAACTCTGAATCGCCTCCACATCATTGATGTGGAGTCAGAAATACACAGCCCAGCACAGCATGACTCTGTGATTGCCCAGCTGCCAGGAAAAGACTGGCTGGGCTGGGGGATGGGACACTCACCTAGCCGGTGACCTACTCTCAGAGGTGCAGTAGTATGCACCCACTTCCCACAACAGCAAGGCAGACAAATCAGCCAGGGGATAAAAGAGACTTCTTGCCACAGGCTTCCCCACCCTGAGTTGCCACGAGATGTTGCAAGAGGGGCCATGACCACAGGTCCTTTCCCTGCAAGCTTCCCCAAGACAGGAATCGTAAGCATTTCAGCAAGGAGGATGACTTCTGAGGCAGCCAGGCAGCCTGCAGCAGGGGTTATTTAGTGTTGCTGATAACACAGCCAACACTATTTAAGCACTTATTATGTACCACGTACCAGGAAAATGCTTCAGAGGCATTACCTCACTTGAGGCTCACAACCCACTGCCCAGATGAACAAACTAAAGACAGAGGAAAACAGCTCATCCCAGGTCACACAGCCAACCAGTGGGAGGACTGGAACTTAAACCCAGTCCACCTGACGCCAAGGCCCGAGCTCCTAACTCAGCCCTGCTTGGTTTAGACTTTAACATTAGCAACAGGTCACTTGCTGGAGAAGCAGGAACGTGAGTGACATGAGGCCAGGGATTTTTGTCTGTTTTGTGCCTGGCATGTAATTGGCATTCAACAAACATGTGTTAAATAAATGACAGATGCTAATTCAAGTAATATATAATTGTAAACAAGTATCCAGAAACAAGGTATTTGTTACATTATCATTAATGGGGTTTTTCTTTTATTTTTTCTTGGTGTTTATCAGAGCAAGCAATTCAGTTCTTAATGAGGATACGTTAAAGTGACATACAGCTGTGTACTGGAAAGGCCACCTGGGTTTGAGACGCTGTTCTGCCGCTGACCAGCTATGGGACCCTGTGTGACCCTGAGCTACTCACTCTGCCTTTCTGGGCTTATCTCTTCACTGAGAAAATGAAGGGGAGTAGATATCAAATTTTTCAAATGCCGGTCATGTTTGCTCAGGAGTTTGTTAAGAATACTAATTCCTAAACCCCTCTCTGTTGTTGATGTTAGCTGCCATTAAGCCGGCCCCCAACTCATGGCGACCCCACACACAACAGAACAAAACACTGCCTGGTCTTGTGCCATCCCCGTGATTGGTAGCAGATCGGTCCATTGTGATCCATGGGGTTTTCAGTGGCTGATTTTTGGAAGTAGCTCGCCAGGCTTTTCTTTCGCACCCATCTTAGCCTGGAAGATCTGCTAAAACCCGTTCAGCATCATAAACCCAACCCATTGCCTTCGAGTCGATTCTGACTCATAGTTGTCCTATAGGACAGAGCAGAACTGCCCCACAGGGCTTCCAAGGAGTGCCTGGTGGATTTGAACTGTCAACCTTTTGGTTAGCAGCCAAACTCTTAACCACTACCCCACCAAGGTTTCCGTTCAGCATCATAGCAACACGGAAACCACCACTGACAGACAGGTAGCGGCTGTGCATGAGGTGCATTGGCCGGGAACCAAACCCAGGTCTCCCGCATGGAAGCCAAGAATTCTACCACCTGAACCATCAATGTCTCTGTAAACTCCTCTCTAGATCTACTATATCAAAAATATTTATTTTTAACACCGTCTCCAGACCATTCTAATGTGTAGCTGGACTAGATATCACCAAAGTTCTTTCCAGTGATGACTGGATAAGAGTCTAGGAAATCACAAATGTATCTGCCACGTCAGCCATGTAAATCATTCCTATAATAATTTCTAAACAAAAAGTTAAACATAATCATTCCTGTTAAGTGCTTCTACCTTAGACCAAATAATTTCTATTCTCATAAGATCAACTTATTAATAATTATCACAGCTTTTCTCTACTGCCTTATCACTTCTGCTTTACCAAACTTAAAGACCACCCAGAGATGGCAAGTAATAATCCCCAGAAGCTCTGTACTGGCCATCTTACCCAGATCACAGGCCCATCTCCAGGTCTCGCCTGCTGTTTCCAGATAGGTATCTAGAAAATACAATAACTTGTATGAGCCACAACTTTAGTTAAACCATTACTAAATTATTTATGTCAATACATAAATGAGAAATTAAATATTTATAAGCAACCAACAACCAAGGCGAAAGAATGAAGGAGAAATCCAAATCCTTCCAAGTGTCCTTAACCATGAAAGCGCGCAACAGCAAAAATTAATTTTATGATGTTGAGACTGGGAAGGGCCTTGAAGTAGGAGACCTGGCAGGTTCAAGTGCTGCATTCCCAGTAAATTATTCATGGAACCCGGCATTGGTTGGTTGGAGCCCTGGTGGCAAACTGGTTAAGAGCGCAGCTGCTGAAGCTGGGCCAAGATGGCAGAGTAGTCAGACGGCTTCCTATATCCCTCTTACGACAAAGATCTGGAAAAACAAGTGATTTGATTGTGTATGAATATCTAGGAGCCCTGAACAAGGCAAAGTTGAGGAATCGGACTGAGTGGCGGGGGGAGAGGGAGACGGTTCAGAAGAAGCGAGGAGTGCCAGAGCAGCAGCGGCAGGACTGCAGCTCTTCAGCCACTCCGGGTACGCAGTGAAGCAGGCAAACAGCTGTGTACGTGAGCTTGGGAGGCAGTTTCCACACTGAGAGAGAGCTGGCAGCAGAGATTCTGCTTGGACACTCCGAACCAGTGAAAAGCAGCTCCCAAGTGGCTAAAGATAAGTACATGCATGTGGCCTTTCGCAGGGATTGAAAAAAAAAAAAGCCCATTTCGGAAAAAACTCTCTTCCTTTTACCTCCTCCCTCCCGCTTTGCACCGATCCGGACTTCCCAAGTCTAAGTCCACTGGGCCAGAAGTAGATCCCAAAAGGTGCCCCGATCCATTCTCCTGGCCTTGGAGCGGGAACAAATAAGTTACCGTCTCCCCTAAGCCAGGAACTCAGAGTCGGCACAGCTCCTTTGCTAGGCACAGGCATACGGGTCCACAGACTTTGAGTGCCTTACACCCCTGTATAGACTTGTGGGGACTATCTCAACAGCGTTAGCCCTCAATACCACAGTACAACAGGGTAAACATCTGAAGTCTAACTTCAACTGTTTCAGCTGTGAAGTGGCAGATTTGTGACCCTCAACACAGCCCTGCCCCTTAAGCAGGCACCTTTACCGATCCACACCAGGGACTTGAGTGGTGGCGTCACCTATGCTACCTAGTCACCTGCTACAGGAGTCCAAGAAAAAGTGGTGCCCTCAAGTCTTTACAGACAACAGAGTGGGGTGCTCATAGTCCGGCTGCAAAACTCACTTACCTACTCGCCCTGGGGAATAGGGACACACTTTCCTTTTAGATTCTCAGGGGCAGCCATTAGCCCCCTGCCTGGCTCAGCACATGACCCCCTACTGCAGCCAGATACTGGTGCCTATAACAATCACCCATGCCCCTCTAAGACTGTAGGTGAGAGCCTGCACCACACACTTGGTGACCAACTGCCTGGACACTTGAGCTGAACCCAAATAGGAAAATTTAACGGACTCCTGTGTGCACATAGTTAGTTACAGAACTAACTACCTGGTGACAGGATGTTAGAGCTTCAAAGGTGTCTATAATCAAACTAGTGCACACGAGCAGCCTATTGGGGCATATCAAAACAAAACAAGAAGCTAGGACTCACTAAACAAATATAAAATAAGATTATAATAACTTATTGATGGCTCAGAGACAACAGTCAACATCAAATCACATAAAGAGGCAGTCCATGATAGCTTCAGCAAGCTCCCAAAACAAAGAATCAATAAATTCTCTGGAAGAAGAAAATTTCTTGGAATTACCAGAGGCAGAATACAAAAGATTACTA